AAAAGGAAAACAATTATTGTTTTCTGGCACCATAAGCTATTCATTTCTTTCTTTCTCTCTCTCTTTCTCTCTCTTTCTCTCTCTCCGACTCATATACAAATATTGATTTTTATTGGCCTTCAGGTTATTGCGAAATTTAAACCGATATTTACTTTTCGTTGTGCTTCCTCTGTTCATTTTTCGTCACGTTCTAAATTGTTTTTTCTTTTCTTTTACTTTTTTTTTTTTTTTCCTTCGCCTTGCAACATCCAAATAATAACGATGATAAAAATTGATAATAATATTATTATTATTTTTTTTCTTTTGGCTTGAATGAAAAGAATAAAAAAAAATTAAAAATTAAATTTTATTAACATAAAAAAAAAAACATAAACTTTATACAAGTTCCTTAAGCGTTTTAACAAACAAACAAAAAATCTATTAATCAATCAATTATTAATATGCTTTTATCCCTTTCGGGTAGTATCTGAATTTATAAATTTTTTTAAAAAAAAAAATTGTTGTTTGTTCAATTTAACTATTTTTTTTTGACAAACAAAAAAAATTGCATTCTAATAATTTTGGAATATTTTAAACTCCTGATATGGCATATCACGAATCGGGGAAAATATTGCAAATATGCACATGGTCGATCGGTCGGTCGCCGGTGCCTAAAAAAAATATCAAAATGTGCAGAAATTCAAATCATGTTTAAAATCCGACCATTTTAAGCCATTGTTTTAACGTTTTATTATTATTATTATTATTCTCATATACTAATACACGCTTATAAATGAATTAACAAAAAAAAGTGAATTTTTGTAAAAACTTTATTCATATTATACACGAACCTTCTGGAAAAAATTTAATTCTACGTAGAAATTCACTTTGTTAATGATTTTTTAATCTATGGAAACGAAAATGCGTAACGAATTGAAACAACTATTATAAAATGACGTTTCCCCCCTCTCTACTCTCCCCTCTCCTCCCTCCCCCCAACTAAAAACTAATATAAATAATTATTATTATAATCATCAAATTAAAAATTTTTTTAAATCATTTACCAACGCAAAAAAAAAAAAAAAATAAAATAAACCGAGACGTAAATAAAAAAAAAAAAAAACAAGTGTCAGCAGACTAAAAACGTGTCATTACGTGATTAAACCTAAATTTATAATTATTATCGATATAAAATTTTGAAATAAAAATTATTATTATTAATTAATAAATAAATAAATAAAATAATTTTTTTTTTTTTTTTAATTATTGCTCTTACTTTTTTTTTCCTTTTGAAATCGGTTAATATTACCGTCTTTAAAAAAAAAAAAAAAAAAATTTATGGCATTAACTCAACGAGAAAATTTTTTTTTTTTTTTTTTCCAGAACAAAAAAGAAAAACAAAAAAGGTAAAACCAAAGTGTTGAGATAAATGGATAATTCAGGTAAAATAATTTTACATGGAGGGAAAAAAAAAAAAAATGTCCTCGTGACCATACAATAAAATTTTTTTTTTTTTGTAAAAATTTTTTTGTCCTTCGTCCTTGTTATTATTATTATTATTATTATCATTTCGTACTTTTTTTTTTTAAATATATATCATACCTCACCCATGAGTTTTTTTTTACTATATAAGCACATGTTTTAAATAATAACCTAATACATACCTTGAGGATTGAATTCTTGCCAGATTTATTATGAAATTGTTGTAGGTGATTGTTTTATTCCTCTCTCTCTCTCTCTCTCTCTCTCTCTCTCTCTTTTATTTAAACGAAATATGAATTTTTATATAATAAACGTGAAGTTAAAAAAAAATTATTATTATCCTTCAACCCTTATTTTTTATCATTCATTTAATTGATTTCATCCCTTTTAAATCCTACGAATAAAAAATTTCGTTAGTTTTTTTTTTTATCGTGATTTTTGATTAATCAATCAATATGTAATTTATTTACTTTTATAATATGGGTAATGTTGATTCAAATAATAATAATAATAATAGAATTACAATCATTGTTGAAAAATTAAGGAAGGAAGAAAAAAACAACACGTCATCGAATAGAAATTAATTAATCGAGAAATTTGATCTCTCACGTGATGTAAAAAAAAAATTTTTTTGTTTTATTATCGAAAGAAATTTTTTTTTTTTTTTCGAAAACGGAGAACAAATTCGAAAATAAATAATAATAATAAATCTACAAAAAAAATCAATTTTAATAGGTACGAGTTATTTAAATTTAACAAAATTGTAGGAAGAGATGGAAATCCACACACACACACAACATTAAAAAAACTCCAATAAGGTAAACATTGATTATTTAAAACAATTGATAGTTTCATTAGTGAATTTTCCATTATAAAAGTTTTCCTTCGAACAATGGGAATCCCCTTGAATGCCAACCAAAGTCTCCGATATCGATAATGAGTTCAAATACATTTTTTAATTCCAACAGGAAGTCTGTAGAACGTTTGGAAAACAAACGACAAATTGTTTGGAGACAAATCCACTGACGAGTAAGTGGTTCGATATACTCGATAATATCAGGCACCTGAAGGATTACTTTTCGAATTAAAAAGTATCACGACTCGTATAAATTAAAATTACAAACTTAAATCGATAAATTATTATTATTATTATTTTCATGTATTTAGCCTGAATTTTTTTTTTTTTAGTAAACTTGATATTCAGCAAAGAGGAAGTTTTATTCCGGCCAAGGACCATATGGACATTATTATTATTATTATTAGGCTTTAACTCGATATGTAATTGCAATCGCAGCATGGACTAAGACATAATTAGAGAAAGCGTAGGAATTGGGTTATTAGTAAAAATGTAATAAATTAAGAAAACCATGTGTGTGATTTTTTATAAATAAAGTGATAAAAATATATATATCGAATTCGTGACAATAATTTCAATGATATTTTCTCTTATTCTTATACGCCATTATTATTACACATATCGAAAAGATAACAATATTAATAATAATGATGTTATTGGTTCCAATTAAATAACAAACGAATGAACCTAAAAAAAAAAAAATTTAATTATAAACATGTAATCGATGTGAGTGATGATACCACAACGTACGTTCACGTACCTGAAACGTACCTGAAAAATTAAAATATTCTGCAAAAAATAAACATTTTTTCTATTATTAAAATTATTTCCCATTGCAAAAACTTTTACTTTTGTGTCGTGGAACATTCCGTGGAACAAAATTATTAAAAATTTATCTCTTATGAGATTTTTATTAAAAAAACCTGCGTAATTTATAAAAATTATTATTATTATCAAAATCACGAATTGATGAAAATTCACGTGGAAAAAAGTATCAGGTTCGAAAATTAATCTAGAAATTTTATATATCAATTATTAAAATCAAATTTGCAATACGTGCACAATTAACGGGGAGGAAAAAAGAAGAAATTATAATGACAACATAACGGATAAATTTAAAAAAAAGAGAGAGAGAGAGAGAGATAGAAAATTAAATAATAAAAATAATTTGAACTGGCATTAATTTAGAGGAGAAAAACCCGTTCTAAAGATCGATATTATCATTAAGAATAATATTGCGGAAGAAAAAGAAAAAAAAAAAAAAAAACAAATAACACAATTCTAGATGATAGATGAAGATAGTAACGAGATTTTACAATTAAAATATAAATAATAATAATAATAATATTAAGATCGACATTTGACCTTTTTACTTCTAATTGCGCAAGAAAATTGATCGGTGGTTTTATGATTCAAAAAAAAAAAATACAAAAAGTTTTTGTAAAAAAAAAAAAAAACATTCGAGAAAATTCAATTCATCAAAAGATAAACAAAACATTTTCCTCTCTTTTTTTGCTATTCCTTTCCTTTTTTTGATACCTGTAAAATAAGGTTATATAAAATAAAATAAAAATATTATTTAAAAAAATTATAATAAAAATAATTTTTTTTTTTAAAAAAAAAAAAAATTAAAATATGAAATAGAATAAAAATGCGTAAATGTTAAAAAAAAAAAAAGGTTTCAGGTTTTTCTTTTTTCTCTGAAAAAATATTATTTCAACTTCATAACAATTTTTCCGCATTAAAAATCATTCCTAAAAAAAAAGAAAAAAAAAAAAAAGTAATTAAAAGTAGGTTAAAACGTGTTGTTAAAAGTCTCTCGTTATCTTTAACGAGCCTCTCTCTCTCTCTCTCTCTCTCTCTCTCTCTTTCTATATCATTATTTAATTTAACGATGTTAAAATAATTTTTTTTTTTTTTTTTTCGACACAAAATGTTTGTCGACATGTGGCAAAAGAAAAAAAAAAAAAAATTTTCATGCTGAAAGTAAAAAAAAAAAGTTTCAAAACATTAAATTACATTATGGATGTTTATTATATAGTTGTTATGCTTGAATTCGTACTGTTATGAATAAAATACATAAACTAAATCCTCCTTTGACATTTAGAAATCTTAACAAAACAATAATAATAATAATAATAATAATAATAATAATAATAAAATGTAAATAAATGTCAAAAATGTCAAAAAGAAATTTTTTTTAAAATGTTTTTTCTTTCTTTCTTTCTTTTTCCCCCTTTTTGTGAAATCTATTTAAAATTATTATTATTATTATTTTTTTTTTCTTATTTTAGAATAATTTAAACAAAACAAATTTTTTTTTTTTAAATAAAAAATCTCAAATTAGTAAATAACAATAAAACATTTCACTAATGGTACAAAACATAACAAAAAAAATTAATGATGACGTCATTGGTTAAACATTCCAAATTGATTTTTCACTAATTTATGATAATAATATTATTAAATGTTTTATTACATTCACACGTGATAAGGGGGGAGGGGGGGAAATCTATTATGTTAATAATCAACGCCACGATATATCGATTAATATAATCGAATGAAAAAAATGGTTTCGTTTGATGTGTGTCCGAAATTTAATTTTTTTTTTTTGTTTATTCCGTGCAATCATATTTAATAATAATTTATTTAAAATAAACTTACCAGGTGTTGATAAGTGTTATTAGCAAATAAGTATTTCGGAAGCTTTTTGAGTTTTAACAAAATCTTCTCCCTTTTTAATATCGTTTTGTAAATAAGGAATGGCTCTTTGTAAAATACTACATTCGTATTCGCTTAAATTTGGTACTCCCAAATTTCTCATGACACCGTTAGGACCTAATTCGATAGGGACAGCAAAATAGCTTACACCTTCCATGCATTCCGTTGGAACGTAGGTACATTCAACCACTCCTTTATGACCTGAAAACATTCATTTTTTTTTTATTCGCCTGACCCAATGAGCTTTTCCATTGTAAATTTATCGTTATAAAATTTTTACTGACCTATGAGACCCTTAACCAAAGAGATAGTAAACCTAGCAGCCGCAAAAGCACTTGATAATGAAGCTGATCCTACACCTTCTTTGGCTTTTGTTACTTCATTTTCTGCTTGTTGTATGGCAAGCGTCAACTGAGAAATTTCTTCCTGTTTTACATTAAAATTAAAATTGTTGACACTTTTCTCGCATGATTATTATTATTATTTTTAGAAATATTTTTAAACGTACTGGTTTAAAATCATTTGAAGGTTTAGCTTGAGATAGAACAGGTACTATTGTACATTCGGAATTTCCTCCGATTACGGGTATAACGACGCATTCAGGTTCGAGTCCTAAAATTTCTGCAGCAAACATATTTGCTCTCACGCAATCTATTAAAAACAAAACAAATAATTTAAAATATTATATTACACGATTAGAAGAAAAAATAATAATAATAATAATAAATAAATATTGGAAATAATTATATGGATATATATACCAAGAGTCGTGATTCCAAAAACACGATTTGGATCAAATCGGCCCCATCTTTTTAATATTTCACAAACAACAGGGACTATTGAATTAAGAGGGTTCATTACTACAGCAATTAAAGCCTAAAAAAAAAAAAAAAAAAAATTATCTTAATTAAATTTTATTTTTATAATGAATCCATTAAAATGTAATTATTAAATTAAATTAAAGAAAGAAAAAAACAGATAAATTACTTCCGGACAAGCTTCTCCACAAGCCGCAGCTAATTCCATAGCAATTTTGGCATTTTCTATAAAAGGATCTTCACCTGTTTTTTTTGACGAACTAGCAGCCAAAACAACGACTCGTGTGTTCTGTTTTTTTATCATGATGAAACATGAATGAAAAAGAAAAATTCAATATCATATTAATTTTTTGTAATTTTTTATATATACTCAAGTTATAATAATATAAAATACAAATAAATATGAATTGTATCTCACTTTTAATGAATCTTTAATTTGTTCTTTTCCAGTATAGGCTCTAACTTTGCATTTAGTATCCACGTGTGAAAGCTCAAGTCCTACACCACAAGCTCCAATAATATCAAATAAATTGAGTTCATCTATGTAAGGACACTGTTTCAACATGAGGGAAAGAGGTTGACCAATGCTTCCGGAAGCACCACAAATAGTTACTTTCATTGATGGACATTTTGGTTCTGATTTACTATAAAAACGTAATTGAGTTTTTTTCAATAAACCGATTGTTCTAACGTTACAAATTTGCTTTTCGATTGTTAGCTTTGTTAATTTAATAAATGATTGCATTTTATAAATAATTTTTTATTATATATATATTTTTAGTTAAGTAATTTAAATAAACCCCCAAAACAAAACAAAAACAAAGTTAATAATTGTAAATAAAAAGAAAAAAAAAAAAAAAAAAGAAAAAAAGAAAACAGTGGTTTTTTTTTAAACAATTAAAATTTCGTCTGCATCATTGATATCAAATAGAAAATTTATTTTTATTTTTTATTTTATATAGAAAAAAAAATATAAATAAAAAAGTGTAAACACATTTTTTTTTTTTAAAAAGTATACAATTCATTGTTATTGTAACAGTCATATAAATTACAGAAAAAAAAAAAAAAAAAAAAAAGAAAATTAGTACATTTATAAAAATGGTCAGTTTTTTTTATTTAATAATGTTAATTAATCAATAATTAGTTTTTTTTTTTTTTTGGTACTTGTCATTGGAAAAAACAATTCTTAAATTTATTTAAAAAAGTAAATTATTTTTTAGTTTGCTACCCTGTCACAATAGAAATGAGTTATGGATTTAATTCAAAAAAAAAACATTTCACTTTCTCATCTTCATGTGCAGGTTAAAAAATTGTTTAAAATACTTAGAAGTATATATTATATATAGAAAAAAAAAACCTCTAACTTAACACAATAATAATTAATTTGGTAAAAAAACATAAACTTAAGTCATTTGGTTTTTTTTTTTTTTTTACTTTAAATATATCAGATCAAAATTATTTTGTGTTAATTAGGTTTGCATTAGATGTGATTTTGATTTTCTTGTTTAATATTGTATAATTAACTTAATATTACTCAATTTTTATTACATTGTTGTTTGAAAATTGCTTGAACGTTTTATCGATATTGGTTAGTTTTATTAAACTAGACAAAACCTGTTATTAGAACTGTTTTTTGCTTTTTTTGCAATACATTCCTCCCTTTTATAGTTTTAGGGCGACTATTATGTATTATTGAACAATTTTTCACAAATACATAACGCCTTCATAATCTGGCTGCCTTTCTCTACACATACACTTTCAAATGGAGTTTTTTCTTTTTGATTTTCATACGGTTTCATTTATTTAATAGTATATAAAGTTGGATTTATCTTACCTTTTTGGTTTTTACTTGATGTTTTCTCGTTTTTATACATTCAAATATAAGTTTTCGACTCAACAATTGAAAATTTTTTAATAAGAAAAACCGTTGCAAATGTCTTCCGTGAGTTGAGAAAGCGGGTTTTACGTGTTACCAACTTAACAAAAAAAAATTTTCCTGACAACCTGACGTCAATTTATGAAATGGCGTACTTTCCGTTGTGAGCAAATAGAAGACGTTTTCCGTTTATAATACATGTAGGAAAACTTAATTTCAATTTTCCGTTTAAGTAAAATTTGTTTAATTAGTATTTTAAAACACATGAAAATGACACAAAATGCTGACAAAAAAGTAAGTATTCATTTGTATTTTTTTTTAACCGCCTCTTGGATTGTATGGTAATTGACCTTAATCATCCTCGTTTTAATTCATTATTTCTTGAAATCCTCCTAGATAATAATTGAAAAGACCGAAGTACCCAATTAATCAGTTATGACATACTGATTTTGTTTTGAAGCCAGAACCTTTATTTATGTAACCAGTTTTGGGATCTTCCTTTAAAATCTATCAAGTAAGTAGGATATTTTGGACGAAGTTTGGTTAAGTTCTTTGTTCTTCGAATTAAGCGGTCTGTTTAATATGCCGATAGATACCTTTTAGCATTCCTTAACTGTTGTAATTCATGAGATAACCTCAAAATACTTCCACATCACACCTGACAATTATTTATTATGCTTCACAGATTTTTCTGGATTAGATAAATATCATTACCCTTATATAGTGACATCCATGCTTTCATCAGCGTGTTTAAATTTTTATCTTTCATTAATTACCCCTTTTAAAATCTCTTGTGTAATTGAATTAAGTTTTTTAAAATTATTGATTCAATATTGTTATATTTCATAATTTTTATTAAAATTTTGTTGCATGATGATGTGTAATAATTATCTTTAACCTTAAACATTTTACCATTTGGAATAACAATTTTAAAAACAACAACAACCTAGTCCCCATTTAATTGTTTCAATGTTTCATAAAAATTATTATTTTATTTTTGTTAACTTTATTTTAATATAAAAGACAAAAAAAAAATATCATATATATTTATTCCGAGCATTAACAAATGTTTTATTTAAACAAGACATTTTGGTCTTTTCAATTTTTATTTAACAAATTTTAGTGTACAATTTGAATTGTTTGTTTTGATTATTTGTAAAGTAAATGTAAAAAATTATTTTATTATAGGTTCAAGAATATAAGGATACTCTCAAGAAAAAGGTAATTATTATTATTATTATTATTATTGCTACATATTTGATTAAAATTATCGTTTTCATTTACGATTAAACCATACTTTTATATGTATAGGCTGAAGATTTGGTTCTAAATGGATTTCCAGAAAAAATTATGCAACTTAATGATCTCTTGGAGACTCCAGCATTCTGCAACAGAAACCTGAGTGAAATTCACCAAGAATTAAATGTTCCAGTCCCTGATCCTATTATATTTAACAACAAACTAGATAATAGTCTTGACTCGCCACCACTTAAAAAAACAAAATTGGAGGATGGAATATCTAAGTATGGATGTGAAGGTGTAGGTGGTACAAGAGTATTATTGCTCCCAACAGGTACTAGTTTTTTTTTAAACCTGTTCATGCAGCATTTAATATTTAAAATGAAAAATTAAAATAATTATTCGTCATTGATATATATAGGTATAGTTCCATGTAATAAAGCACTTTGTGAACTTATTAATATTGTTAAGCCTCACATACGTCAACTTGTCGAGGATGCAAATTTGGTTAAAATGTGGATTTCTTACATGATTCCAAAAATTGAAGATGGTAATAATTTTGGAGTTTCTATTCAAGAGGAAACTTTAGCAGAAGTAACATCAGTCGAAAGTGAAGGAGCTGTATTTTTCGATCAGATTTCAAGATATTTCATTTCGAGGTGAGTGAAAATTGTCTCATTACACAAATTTTTTGGTTTTTTTTTTTTTTTTTACGTACATCAGAAAAAATAACGTTAATAATTTTTACAGGGGAAAAGTCGTTTCAAAGGTAGCAAAATATCCGCACATTGAAGACTACAGAAGATCAGTTTCCGAATTGGATGAAAAACAATATCTAAGCCTTTGGCTAGTTATGTGCGAAATAAGAAATCGTTATTGCACTTTACACGATTTGGTCGTTAAAAACCTTGAAAAAATTAAAAAACCTCGATCTGAAAACGCACAAGCTCTTTATTAATTAATTATTTTAAAAAAATAACTAATTGATCAATCGTTTAACGAGAAAAAAAGTTTTTAATTAAACTTTAAAAGGAATATATAAATAACTTTTGATTGCCATTTTAAAGAAGCGAAAACAAAAAAGAAAAAAATTGGTTAAAATTTTGGCCTGTATTAATTAATTATATTAAATAAAACTTTAAAATTAATTTTATTCATTACCCAAATTTTTTTTTTCGTACCCTAATTATTTTATTATTTTATTAAGTTTTTGTTAAGGTGTTTAAAAAAAAGAAAAAACAAAAAAAAATATAATAAAATCGCCTTTTAATTTATTTTTACAAAAAACATTGAGCGGTATTTACAAAAATTATATAACCGCCATTAAAATATTTCCATAGGAAAATAAATAACAAACAGGTACCGAAAAGTACCATCATATCACAGAAATAATTATATGTATGTATAAAAAAAAAATTACAATTTATTATTATTATTATTATCATTCATTCTAAATATTCGTTTTTTTTATTTTGTTTTCCGGCGCACTGTCAAGAATAATGATAATTTCCTTTTTGATTTATCTCAGGGAAAATTGTACTCAAATTAAAATTTGCCAAAGAATTACTCGTCGATGATGGAAGGGATGAAGAGGGAATTATGGGATTCGATAACGAGAAAAATGATATCGATGATTGCGACGTTGAAAATGGAACGTTGGAAGCTGAAAAAGCAGAAGATATGACGGCATTGGTAACGCTTCCTAATGAATTGGTAGGAAAACATTCGGTTATCGACGAATTGGGTTTGGACGTGCACGTCGTAAACATTCCAGCATTATTGGGTAAAAATGATGAACTCGGAGTGGAATTTTGCGTCGAAGAATTCGTAAATTTATGATAATTAACATTATTCGACGTCGACGATGTCGTCGTCGTCGTCATCGTCGTGAGTGGAGGAAAAGAAATGTTACTCGTCGTAAAAGATGGCGGACTCGAAAAACTTATCGGAATACTCTGAGTAGGAACGGGTAGTAAATTCGAACATGCGGACGTTGTGAATATCGTCGGAGGGGGACACGCCAACGTTGTGCTGGTGAAAATTGCATTGCTTGGAGGTATGGAAAACTCGTTGAAACTCGATTTTGGACAATCGAAATTTTTCCTATTTCTCGACGAATAATGTTTCGAATTATTTTTAGTTTTTTCGTTCGTCGAATGCGACGGTTTCTTTTCCACGACGAAACTATTTTGCAAAGAAGGAGGTATGAGTAAAGAATTGGATGGATTTTCCGTCAGAGGATATTCTGGAGTTATGAAATCCGTGAAAAAGGTATGACTTTGCCCTGGAAAATTAGAATTGGGATCGTGTCCGGTAAATTCTCCTGCATTTCCAACCGTCGTCGATCCAATACCGAAATTCGGTACAGGACTGGAAAAATTAAAATCCGTGTAAATGTTTTGATTGGAACCGCTTTGAAAATCCCCGGATTTTCCACTTATATCGAAATCCGTTTTCCCACCATTTGTAAACTGTTCTATTTTTTGACTAGTTTTACCATTTAAATAATTTATATTTATATCCACGGCAAAATCGTTCGATTGACACCCGACATTGCTATTATTATTATTGTTATTCGAACGTATCAACGCTTCCGCTGTATAATTGCTACTTCCGGTATTTTTATATCCTTGATATTTTCTATCCCCGTATTTACAATGGGAACTCCTACTTTTGCTACTCTTGTACGTTTTCTGATTGTTGAAATTCGTATAATTCTGACCGTAGATTTCCGTTTTGGTTCCTCCGGTATCCAATCCACTGTCCAATTTTGCCGTTCCCTCGAAACTTGGAGGTTCGACCAATTGGCTAACGGACAAAAAACTATTTTGTGTGTTATTCGATATGTTTCTTTGTTTTTGCCTGTTGAAATCTGTCGTCGTCGTCGTCGCGGAGGATGAACTTTTCGACACGGGTAATTCGAAAATATTTTTTAAAACGATCGTTTCGTTGTTGTGGTTGTTATTGCTGTTGTTGTTTAAGGTAAAATCATTTTTAGGCACCTGCGTATTATTATTATTATTATTTTGTACATTCGACGGAGTCATATCGAAAATATTTTTCGATAAGTTAGCAAATGGTTCCAGGTATTGTTTACTTCCGTCGCTGACTCCGCCGTCTACTACGGGTTTTCCTAAATTAACATTGTTTCCAATTCCCAACTCGGCATATTCCTTATCGATATCGTTCGGTAGAGTTTTCAAATTAGAATGAATGCCGCCGATTTTCGAATTGACGTTATTTTTCACAAGATGGATGTCGTTCGTCGAAGTACCTAATGCTAGATCGCCCACTAAAGTGGGGAGCGTCGATGGCACGACTAAATTGTTATCCAATCCGAAGGATTTACCGGCAAGCCAATCGACATTTTTACCAGGCATCCAAGTGAAACATTCTTGATTGGGAATTGGATTGAAATCGAGATTTGTTATTATTTGTTCTGGAGGTTTCTTCGTTGACTCCACCACTCCATGATGTTCGTTATTCATACCTTCAGATTTTTTCTTTTGACCTGTCGATCCGTTGTTATTTTTTTTACTTTTACCAACGTATGATGATTGTCCGTTATTACAATATTTGGATGAGTCTTCTTCTGCGAAACAATTAGGGGTGTAATTATAATCGAATATGTTGTTGTAAGAATTTTGTGTCGGTTTGACATAACATTTCCCATCCGTTCTTTTATCCATTGGTTTACACCTTTGATCTTTTCCGTAGAAATCATTTTTGTGATAATTCATTTTACTCTGATCGACAGTGATGAATTGCTCCGTGCAATCCCCCCCAATCAATTTAGCATTTTGACCGTTTGTATAAAAATTGTTGTCTGATTGGGCGTAGATGGGAGGTTTTAAAGCGGGTATTTTGTCATTTTGAGACCCGTATATCATGTTTCGATTTCTCACATCTGGCTCCGTCATCCAATTAACCGTTCGAGCGTTTCTTTGATTCGGTACTTCCTTAGCGGGTACTAATTGATACGGAGGATTAGTATCAAGAGTGTAATTTGTCGGTTGTTGAGCCTTGTTTCCAACGAAAGGTTCTCCCACGTTATTCGAACATGATTTTTTATGAGCAGTAGATCTTTCGTTGTTATACGACGGTGCTTGATTCATAAAATTTTCTTTTTGACCATATTCAAAAGTATTATTTTTAATATTGGGTATGTCGTGTACCATGTTTTGAATATTTGAATTATTATTGGATTTTGAAATTGCACTTGACCCATACGATTTATAAGTGACGTTATTTAAATTTGTATTTATTCCTGGAAAATTTAAATCAACACCAGAGGATCCTTCAATTGATGTCAACGCTTGGCCAATTTGAAGATTGTCCGCGGGTAGAAAAAAAGTTTCAGGTCGAATATCGCATGTATTTTGCTGATATTGAGCCCAACTTTTACAAGGATCGAAGTGATTATTATTATTTGGTTGATTTTGAAGTTGAGTTTCGTTGTTGTTTTTATTATTTGAATTATGGACGCTGGTGCTAATACTACAATTGCTATTACTTTCACTGTTATTTCCGTGACCGGTATTATTGTTACCGTTAGTCAAATTACTATTAGCGGTTATATTATTGTCAAAATTATTATTTACAGCGGAGTCTGATATTAATTTTAACTCGACATCTCCCAAGTTATTTCGTTTTTCTTTTGAAATATTTTCCTGAGTGACAGATTGTTCTTCAGCTGATTGTGTCAAAAAGTCTTTCGATGCATTACTTTTTCGTTCTTGGTTGTTTACAATATTCCTTTCTTCATTTTGTTCCAAAGGTGTTAAATGATTTTCAATTTGCCTCAAACTTTTATTATCATCAACTTTCTTTTCGCCTAAATCTTCATCCGTTTCCGGTCTGATGGGAGCCACAATTGGGAAACTAGATAAAAATGCCGCAGTGGGTGAAATGGATAGAGAAGTGTTTATGGAATTGGGTAATCCCAAATTACAAAACATGGCGTCAGTTTCAATAGGATTCTCTATAGGCTTGAATACGTTATCTCCGGCATTATTTTTCAATTTTGCCTTTTTGCAACTTTCTTTTTTTTCATCTTCTAAATTTCTTTTACGCGTGCTTTCTAATTCATTTTCTACAGATGATTTTTTTTCTTTTTCTTGAGTTTTATTGTTTTTGGATTCGTCGGTATCCTTTAAAACTTGATCAGGAGTTTGGTTTTCATTTTTTTTATTTTCTTCATCCGTTTGTTTATCGGTTGTTTCTTTAGATTTATTAGCATTAGATTTGTTTTTTTCATTTCCCACATTATTTGATATATTTTTTTTCGCATATGATTGTTTTGATAACGCTGGAATAGGAATTTTATTTACATACGTCGTGGTAGTAGAATCTCTCATTATTCTCTTTTTATTTGCTGGAGCTTTTGATAATATGTGAGATAAAATTTTTGAATTAGCAACTGGATTAGATGAAGTATAGATAATTGAACTGTTTAGAATTTGTACGTTGGGTTTTGAAACGCTAATCACTTGTGGAGCTGCATTCAAAATTTGTGCCGTTTGTATAATTTGAGGAGCAGGCTTTTGTAATACAATAACTGGTGATGGCTTGTTTATTACGATTGGTGTTAACAATCCTGTACTTGGTCTAACTATGGCTGTTTGTGTCAGTAAATTGGGATTAGGATCATAAACAGTGCTTGAAGAATTTAAAATGGGTAGTTGAACCAGATTTCCATCGTTAGTTAACAGAAAAGTATTCGATTGTAATACACTCGGAGTTGATGGCAAAACTATATTATGAGGAGTTTCCACAATTTTCGGAATTCCTATATTATGATTTTGTAATAATGAAGAAATCGAATTTTGAGACCTTACATCTAGACAGCTATCAAATCCTTGAATAGGTGAACTATTTGTTTGATTAATAATAATTTTCTTTTTTCTAGAGTTGCTTTTACTATTTACACTTTTATCCACAACTTCACTTTTATTTTCATTATTATTATTATTATTATTACTATTTTTATTATCACTCTTATTCAATTGTGCACTATTTGTAGACAATTTGTTATAATCCACAGGTTGATTTTCTTTAAAATGTGTGGGAGATTCAGATTCATTAAATGAATCTCCATTTTCAATATTATTATTACAATTATTATCATCATTTTTTTCAGGATTTTTTTTACATTCATTCGATTTTTCATCTTCTTTATTCTGGTTATTGGATGTTATGATTTTACTAGTATTATTACAAACTTTTTCAGTACTTTCGCTATCTTTTTTCTTCTGAATTTTAGAAATGCTTTTTTTATAATCTTTAATTAATGACAAAACGCTTTGAATTTTTTCATCTGGAACTACTAAATTAATTTTTTCAGACCATTTTTTTGGGCGTTGATTCATCCATTTGAGCGAATTACCATTTTTAAAATCTTCAGAATATGTTTCTAAAGGAGGAATCATTATATTTGCTGCCTTTAATAAATCAGTTAACTGATCGACTCTTTTTAACAATTCTTTAACTCTATTTTTTAATTTTATCATTTTGTTTTCTAAAAAAAAAAAAAAAGAATTTTAATAACTTTGAATTAACACTACAATACTACAGATTAATGAACTTACTGTAAACTTCATCGAAACCACCATTTAACAAATCTTGATTTTGATCCTGAAGATCTTTAATACATATTTTAGATTTTTGTAATATTTCAAATCTTGACATAGGTGTCGACGGATCGTAAAAAGGTAAAACCTCTTGTAATTCATTAAAATAAATTTTCATTTTTTCTCTTCGAGCTCTTTCCCAAACTTTGGGAGTTTTTGATGGGTCTTTTCTGAAATTTAATATACTACACATTAGAAATAATAATTTTTTGATATGCGATTGGCTTTGTAACAGTGTTTACCTAAGATGGAATTATCTCTAGAGGATTAAAAAAAAAATTTAATAAAATGGCTTTCGTAAAATAAATCATAATTAAGAAAAAAACATAATTTTTACCTTGTGATTTTTTTTTTTTTAGAGCTCATGATTGTTAATCATTTTTTAAGTAATCATTATATTGTAATGTAATTTTTGACATACCGAACAATTCTATTAAAACTTATTTACATTACGGCCATTTTGAATATCTCTCATTAATTCTTTTGAAAACCATTAAAGCTCATTTAATCATAAAAAATTATTAATGTGTCTCATTTAAAATTTTATTTTTAATTTAAAAAAAAAAAATATTTAAAATGCATAATATTAATAAAATAATTTTTAATGCATAAAAAATTTAATTAATAAATATATATAAAAATAAAAATAGGTATCAATTTTGCCAACAGAAAAATCGTTGGCGGGTATTTATTCATAATTTAATAATTTTTATAAAGTAAGTAATGGTTTGTTTTTTTTTTTTTTTTTTTTGTTTTTAACTTTCATTTTTCAGTTTTAAAATTAATAAATGACCCATATTCAAAATTTATAATTATGTTTCAAAGTTTTTATTGTTAGAAATTATATTAATGTCATTTTAAAAATGTATATCAAATTAAAAGAAAAAATTATAGTAACCATAGAAACTTTCACTTTTTTAAAAACAAAGATTTAATTTTTTAAATAGAATTATTACTTATATGGATTTAAAACGGTAAATTTTAATCTGATAATCTTTTTTTGTTATTTTATCCAGCACATTTTGTTTTTTTTTTTTTTTTTTTAAATGCTTGTTTAAAATAGTTTTGAAAAATGAAAATTTTTTTATATGAAACCAATAGTACAAATTCAAAAGATTTTTAAAAAATTATAATTTAAGATTAATAATTTTGAAATTATTTAGAAGTTATTTATTTTACCCATTAAAAAAAATTATGAATTAAAAGTAAACTTATAAAAATTTGAATAATTATTATACTTTATTTGTGATAACTAATAATATCAAAGTAACTGTAAAAAAATTTTTTTACTTGCTTTTTTTATTCATCAGAATTAACGAGAGATGGCTGAATGCTTATTCGGATCCTCATTCTTATCTTTACACCTTCAGTCGATGCATGTCTTTGGCAGACCTCCAAGGAAGTGGAGATTACATGCTTATATTAGCTGACATAGGAACTGGTACATCTAACATAAAATTAAAGGTATGTTCAATACATAATGTTTAATTTGCATAAAGTAAATTAAATTAATATTAACATAATTATCATGTTATGGAACTTAATAATACATATAAAAACATAATTGAGGTTGAAACATATTATTTATTTAATTTTTAATTAGTTTTGTAACTAACTTTACAGGTATTTAAAGGTATATCATTGATGAGTGAAAATACACTTATGGAAATTCCTACAGCCCTAGTTTCATTTTATCATGATCATCAAGATCAAAAAATTCCATCGATAGCACTTGCCTCTGGTTCGAGTATATATATTTATAGAAATATGAAACCATATTTCAAATTTTCTTTACCTGACTTGCAACTTAATCATCTGGAAGTTGACCTTTGGATGCAGGTAAAGTTTATACATAATTTTAATATTTGTCATAGGAAATTTAAAAAAACTTGAAATTAATTTTATTTTAAACAGGCTAGAAATGAAGGTATAAGCCCCATTGTTCTACACAATATGTTAGATACCATTAAAAATGAAATTGGATTCTCAAATTTAAGCTACCAATCACAAAAATTACTTATGATACCTATCAAAAATGAAGAAGAATTACTTGAAGCAGTTAAAACTTATGCTGGTCAAACTATAAAAAGACAAACTGTTATAACATGTATGGATACTTTATTTAAAAATTCAAATAATTCGAATGCTGTTTCCTGTCTTGTGATTGGAACAGAAAACGGTTGGGTTCATATTATAGACAGCGAAGCTTTTACAATTTTAGATTCTGTAAGTTTTTTTATATTTTGGTTAAAAATAAAGAAAAACTCCAATGCATTTGGTATTTTTCTTTTAACACACACAAAAAACAAAACAAATGCAGATAGATCAATCGATGGATAGTCAGTGTACGGATCAAACAGTACCAGTAGTAATTAAAACAATCGGTTTGTTTGATGTGGACTACAGAATAGTTATTTGTAACAGAAATGGAAAAATAACATTATTGAAACGTGGCTGGACTCAACCAAAGTGCCTTATTAATCTATCAACACAAATTGTAGATATGTCATTGTTACCTGATACAGGAAATATTTTATTAGCTTTAATGGATTCATCATTGGAATGTTATTCGAAAAAAGTAAACAAATTTAATTCTATGTATCATACATACTTATATTATTATTTTATTAAAATATTTATGCATTCTTTTTAAGGGTAAAAAGTTATGGAATATAAAATTACCATCTACAATTACCGGTTTATTACCTATACCATTATTACATCAGGGTTTAACACTAATTGCTGTTGCTTTGAACGGTGGAAAAATAAATTTTTATAATGGTAGAGAATTGGTTGATACCATTATGGCAACGGATACAATAGCAGGAATGGTGTTTGGAAGATTTGGTCAAGAGGAACATTGTTTAGTTTTAATCACAATCGGTGATTATTATTTATTTATTTATTTTGATTTCCCATGCAAAAATTCAAAAAAAAAAAATCAAAAATTTGGGTTTTTTTTAGGAGGTGCTCTTCAAGTTAAAGTTTTAAAAAGAACGGCTCAGTTTTCCCAACAGAGTTCGACGGTACCATCGAGTACAAATTTTCAAAATATTAAATTAAACATTCCTAAAAAGACGAGTTTATTTTTGGAACAAGCCAATAGGGAAATTAAACAATCAATACGTTAGTTTATTAGTTCATATAAAAAATAAAAATAAAAAATTGATAATGTTTATTAACGAAAATGCATAATTTTTTTTTTGTATTATTATTATTATTATTATTTAGAAATGCATCGGACTTTTCAAAAAGATATATTTCGATTCAGATTGGAAACGGCGAGAGAATTTTACAATTCATTAAATAAAATTAATAATTCAATATCGAACGATAGTAAATTACCATTGAAATTATCCACGGAGGTAAATTAATGTTTTTTTCCATTCCATTCTTGTATACCGTCAAGCTTAGGCTTTTGTTTGTTTTTAATTTGAATTGCGCAATTAAAAATGTATTAAATAGTTCAAATAGTGTGTAACTACTCACTTTTTAACTATTAGAAAAATTTTTGTAAATAGATGATGTGGTTTAAATAAAACATATTCATTAATAAAATATTATTTATTTCAGGTATTCGGATTAGGCCCGACGTTCAAAATAATGCTGACTTTAGAAAACATGGCGGCTCAGTTACCATATAATGCTGATGAATTATTATCTAAAACAATCGGTATTGTTTTTAATTTTAACGATAAAATATATAGAGTGGAAAAACCGTACATATCCGTACCTTTTCTCGTACCTGGTTTACAATATAAATTCGATACAAAAGTTTTTTCAATCACGGATACTGGAATATCGGATGAAATACACGTTTTTGTTTTTTCCCACGAATCAACCGAACCCATATTGTCAGCAATCGTCAACATTCCTATTTGCGATGTTTTACCAATAGAAGTTTAATTAATAAATTTTTAAAACATGAAAAAAGTTTTTAAAAAAAAAAAAATTATTTATTTGATATTTTGGAATAAATAAATTTTTTTCGAAACTAAATAAATAAATAATTTGAGAAGTATATAACAGGCTGAATATATATTTTTTTATTAATTTAAATGGAGGAGAAAAAGAAGAAGAAGAAGAAAATAAAATTTTTTTTTTTTTTTTTAGAACGCAGGCATGAAATAATTTAGGTCTCTGAGTCACTATGTCATATTTTTAATTTTATTTTTAAAAAAAATTGAACAAACAATAACAAAACAAATTTTTTTAACACACTCAGGCAAATTATGTTTCATAAAAATCATGTTTAAAAAAAATTAATTAATAATTGAATTGTTAAAAATTTATGGGGAAAATTTTGAAAGTGAAATTTTTTTTTTTTAAATATGAAATCATAAAGAAATATCCGGAATTTAAAAAAAAAAAAAAAAAATGATAGAAATTAAAAAAACCTGTTAAGAAACATCAAAGTCCGAACGAAACATTGAAAAAAAAAAAAAAAAAAAAAAAATTATCTGTATTGCGAGGGTCATGGAAATTTAATTAAAAAAAAATGTATTCGTGTAATTAAATGAATTTTCTATCATTATTATCATTTATTGACAATTTTTTTTTTTTTTTTTTACAATTAATAATAAATATTTTAAAAACTTACCGATTTTTCACATCGTCATATAAATGTTGTTGTTGTTGTTGGCAAAAGCTTTAGGAAAATAAAAAAAATTTTATCAAAGTTCAAGGTCAATGTTCTTTTGCATTCAAAACGAAATTGACTTTAAAAAAAAAATGTTTTATTATTATTTTATTTTTTATTTAAATATTATTATTATTATTATTATTATTATTATTATTATTATTATTATTATTATTATTATTAATATTATTTTAATATTTTATCCTATTACGAATTCAAAAAAAAAAAAAAAGAATGAGAGGAGGAAAGAAAAATTTTTCATTTTTTTTTTTTTCCATTTATAACTTTGATATTTAAATGGAATTTTTTTTTCTTTTTTTAAAATAATTTTTTAAGGTACTTTGTAATGACATGGCAAAATTAAAAAATATAACGGATCAAAAACCTACATAAAAATAATAATTTTTATTAAATTTAATCTTTGTCCAAAATTTAAAAAAAAAGTAGGTACAATGATAATGTTTTTTTTCCATTTTGTTGTTTTATTATTATCATTATTATAATCAAATCCATGTTAAATATTATTTTTCTATGTAAATAAAAAAGACTAAATTAATTATAAAAAAAAATTAAAACTAGTATTTTAAGTATTTTTTTTTAATAATTATTATTATTAACAATAACAAGAAACTTCAGCAAATTTTTTTGGTTTTTAAGAGGGAAGAAGAAGAAGAAGAAGATTATGAATTTAAATAAGTATTATTATTATTAAAATTTATACTTTTTTTTTTTTTTATGATAAAATAATATTTTAGTTAATAAAACTAAAAAAATTTTTGGTTTAAATAAAAAAAAAAAAAAAAAGTCAGTCAGCCAATGAACATTCTTTAAAATTTTCCTTTGCAAGACTCTATCAAGTTGT